ACTTCTACCCCGTGTACCAATTTCGGCAATTCAAAATACTCTATTAGTAATATTCTGAGCAACCAAAGGGTAGATTATGATATCAATACGTGTATCCATATTCTTACTGGAGAAAGCAAACACATATCCCAACACTACCATAAAAGACTCTCTTACTTCGGAATTTCATCGAGGCGATTCCAGGAACAGTTTATAGCGCCAATTCCGCTCTTCGCAACGATCTCTCGATCACCACCCGACAGATAGGACTTCCCCTCAGCAGATAAGAGGACGCCCTGAAAGGTCCGTAGACTTCATCGATTTCGATAAGACATTACTTGAAACGGAACATGGGGTTTCAACGCCTTGGCAGCACCTCTTTTAACCAGCCGCATGCCTGTGTCCTTCTTAGGGTCATTCTGATGGAACTCGAACATAACCAACCGTGGCTTCTTCTCGACGTGCAGCTGAGGAGCTGCTGTCGAGTCGGAGGGTTGTGATACCATGGATGAATAGCGCTTACCAGGGATCGAATCCGGGTGCTTATATAACACGACATCAACGTACGTTAGTAATCATTATTAACGACTATTAGCTGCAGTTTACTGATGGTTCTAGATTGAATAAAAAACAATACGACTTCTCCTAGGTTCAATAGTCCTCCCACCAGTGATTACTGTGAAAGCACCGCATCGGCGCTACCGATGCTGCAGCTCTCAGCAACAACAACAACAATACGAGTTCTTCTTAGTAGTAGAAAGAATGGTATCTCAATAGCTCCTACTACTCATCACACAGCTTAGGAGTAGCCTACGAGCGTTGGAACCTGGCGGGCATTGGTACCTAGGAATTAAATAATCATCTAATACCACACCTTCGTCACATCGTACATCCGGATGGAACTTCTGCATCTCCATTATGAAGTACTTGCGGAGTTGCATTTCATCAAGTTCAGGTTCGAGCTCAAATTGCAGGAAAACCTAAGCTCCGAATTTAACCGCTGAATCGAGGCAAACCTGATCCGACCTGATCTTTAGCAACAGTTTCAGTCCCTCGAATTCCCTTGAAAAAAGGGTGCTCCAGACATTCATCGACTGTGATGCGTTTACGAGGATTGAAAACGAGCATTCTGTCCAAGATGTCCAACGCCTCCACTGAAAATGAATTTTCATCAGGTGTAGTTTTATCGGTTGAAGAACCTACGGGAAGATCCTCTGAACTTCTCCCTGATGCCAGTCCCGCTGCGGCGCGTGAAGCATCTAATATACCTGGAGGAAAT